ATAAAATGAGTGGAAATGTAGATTGCTCTGAGTTGAGGCAGTAATAAGCTTAATTATCCAGGTTTTTGTTTCTCCTGAGAAAGATGGTGTGCAGGATATCCTAGGAGATAAATGGTAGAATTGCTGATCTTGGATTGTTGAATCTCTGCTTGGAGGAATTTCTCGACAGAATTTCCCGGACCCAGAGAAGAATTTATAAGAGACAAAAATAATCACTTGCTTTGTTTGTTAGCATGGCATATCCTAGCTTACTCTAAACAAGAGAAACTCAAGTCACCTTGTTGCATAGAAATTAATGACAACATTGTTAGGATGATATATGATTATTTATATTTGTCAATTTAAATAATTTACATTATAGGATTAAGTTTTTGATACATGTACACTTTGGATAAGAGTAAAATCTCAGGAACATATGAAACCTAAAACACTAAAATATATGATTGCACTTTTTTTTTTTAGATTTATTTATTTATTTGAGAGACAGTGCACAAGCAGAGCCAGGGCCTTGGGTAATTAATTTCCTGGGCAACCAATTATTTTCCTCATTTTTTATCCACACGGGTGCATCCTGAGTTGAGATTGAGGCTGACGAGATGTGTTTGTCAGCTCTAGTATATGGTTCTCCTTGGAGTAAGTTTAAAAAATTTAAAATAAATAAGGTTTGTGCCATGACGTCTCAGGGGGAGATTTCCCCTTTCTTTTTAGACATAGTTTTATGGAGTCGTTTTTTAATGGTGGCATGCGCCCTTTCCTACCACAGCCTGTCCTTGAGGATTATAAGGAATACCTGTGATATGCTGTATTTGCCATTCTGCAAGGAATTCTCGTACTTTTTTGCTAGTATGTGCTGGGCCATTATCTGTCTTGATACAAGTAGGTAACCCCGTAATAGCGAAACATTCAAGTAAATGAGAGATAACATACCCAGCCTTTTCTCCCGTCAATGGAGTAGCATGAAGAAATCCTGAAAAGGTGTCTACTGTAACATGAATATACGAGAGATGTCTGAAAGGTGGGAAATGAGTAACGTCCATTTGCCAAATACAATCAGGAGTTGTGCCTCTGGGATTGATGCCCGCCGGATGCTCAGTTAAATGTAGAGGTCAACAAATAGGACAAGAAGAGACTATTTGCCTGGCAGGGCACAAGGGTATTTTGTAGTGTGAATGAAGGTGGCTGGTGATGGTATGAAGATGGGCATGTTCTGCTTGTGGACTTTCAAAAATAGGAGTAGCCAATAAATCAGCAGACTGATTTCCCTGTGTAAGAGGTCCGGGGAGGTTAGAATGAGAGCAGATACGAGTAATGAACAAAGGGTGAGTTCGAGATTGAATTTCTAATTGTAATTCCTGAAGCAAAGGGTTAATGATAGAATGAGTTGTGGAAATTAGAGCTGTTTCCAAAGGCGCAACAATGCCAACTAAGTAAGCGGAATCAGATACGATATTTATAGGATAATGAACATTCTGCAATAAGAACAATAAAGCTGCAAGTTCGACCTGTTGAGCAGAAGTGTAAGGGGTTTTTATGGAGCGCTGAATAGCAGGGCCCCAGACTCCGGCGTGCCCAGAGGAAGAGCCATCAATAAAGTCTGTAGGAGCTGAAGGGATTGGGGTGTTATGAACTACGCGATTTATAACCCAGGCAGTACGTTTAGGAAGTCCCATAGTTTGCCTGACGGATAGTGGCAACCTTTGCGCCCAGTATAATCAGCAAGAGATATTTGCAGATCAGTAGAAAAAGGAAGTACTTCCTTAAAAGATGTGGAAGAGATAGGTAAAACAAAGAGCGCTGGGTCAAAACGAAGAATTTGAATAGAACGCTTTCGTCCTTGGAGAATGAGTGAAGTGACAAGAGATAGATACGGAGTTAACAGTTCCGAGAAGTTTTTGTATGTAAAGTCACCCATTCCAGAGGTTTGTCTTCTTGCGCTAAGACACCAATAGGAGAATGAGGGGTAGGGAAAATAAACAGGGGGAGAGAATCATCACACCTGTAAGCAAAGGCAGTTTTTAATCGCTCCTCAACAAACTGCAGTTCGTCCTCTGCCTCTGAGGATAAAGCGTGAGGACTATCTAAAGCAGAATCACCTTGTAAAGTGTTAAATAAATTTTGTTAATTTATAAGTTGGAATCCCTAGGAGAGGGCGAATCCAATTAATGTCTCCTAGGAGTTTCTGAAAATCGTTAAGAGTAAGGAGGGTATCCCTACGAATTTGCATTGTTTGAGGTTTCACTGTGGTTCTATCTACCACAGTGCCTAGATAAGAAGCCAGAGTAGTTTGGATTTTCTCCGGGGCTATTATGAGACCGGCAGAAGTCAAGTGTTGAGAAGTGCCCTGATACACATCTTGTAATTCGGTTGCAGTTTGTGACGCCAGCAAAATATCATCTATATAATGAATGATATAGGACCGAGGATAATGATCTCTTACAGGTCTTAGGAGCTGGCCAACATAATACTGACACATGGTAGGAGAATTAGTCATGCCTTGTGGCAAAACTGTCCATTGATATCGTCTCATTGGTTCCTTATTGTTAGTGCTGGGAACAGAAAAGGCAAATTTCTCCTTATCCTCAGGGTGAATGGCTATGGTCTAGAAACAATCCTTAAGATCTATTATTATCAATGGCCATTGTTTGGGAATGGCTGTAGGAGTGGGTAACCCAGGCTGCAAGCCACCATGCAAGCTCCATGACGGGATTAACATTCCAAAGATCTATTAAGAGCCTCCACTTACCTGATTTCTTTCTGAAAACAAAACAGGCGAGTTCCAAGGAGATTGCGAAGGGTCTGTACGTCCTGCGTGCAATTGTTCTTGAATAATTTGTTCTAAGGCCTGCATTTTTTCTATTGGAAGGGGCCATTGAGGAGTCCAAACCGGGGAAGAACTTTTCCATGTTATTTTAATAAGGGCAGGCCTCTTTTCCTCAATGGCCCCTAGAAAAAAGGGTAACCCAGTCCTGCCCTATGAGTTTGTCCTTGGACAATGATAGACTCCTTTATTCCTTGATGCTGTCTGCCTAAGCCCTGTCCTGGTTTATAGCCCATTTTTGTCATGATTTGATTATCTGGTTGACTTGGGGGGATGATTAGCTTGGCTCCCCATTGTTGTAAGAGATCCCTTCCCCAAAAATTAATGGGGGTATTTAAGATGAAAGGCTGGAAAACTCCTTCTAATCCATCTGGTCCCTCACATTTAAGTGGCACACTACTTTGTCGAATTTCTTCTGCTGTCACAAAACCTATTCCTTCTACTGAACTAGAGGTTGCTTGCGTGGGCCAGGTATTAGGCCAATGCTGGGAGGCAATTACTGAAATATCGGCTCCAGAGTCTACTAGACCTGAGAAAGTCCTTCCTCTAATTTTAAGAGTCATAGAGGGACGATCAGTCTGAGTCAATAATGAAGCCCATTTAACCGTGAGAGGATCAGTACTACCGAATCCTGATCTGTTGGGACTGACCAATTTGTACATAGGGCAATTAACAACAACTGAGCAATTCTATCTCCTCCCTTAGAAGTCCAAGGAACCCGAGTCTGTGCGACCACCATTATTTCTCCTTCATAATCAGAATCTATTACTCCAATCATCACCTGGATTCCTTTAAGATTTAAGCTACATCTTCCTAGCACAAGACCCACGGTTCCTCTTGGTGAAGGTCTGTAATAACCCGTGGGTATTTTTTGAGGCCCGAGACCAGGGTGAAGACTTACTATAAAAGCAGTGATTCAATCTACTGTGGCACTTCCCTGGGTGGCGGGCCTGAGTGATAACACGGAGGGTTTATGTGCGCAGCAGGAAGTTGCTGCTGGAGAGGCGACATATTGAATCCCCCGTTGTTGTTCGGGGCCCCTGGGGTGGCCCCACATTCCGTTTCCCGACCTTAATGGGAGTGGGTTACCTTGCTTGTCAAATTTGGATTTGCATTCCTTGGCCCAATGTTTGCCTTTGCCGCAACGAGGGCAGAGGCTAGGGACAGTATTAGAAAGGGAATTGGCTCTACGTTGGGGGGCTTTATGGCATTCCTTCTTGACATGTCCTACTTTCCCACAATTATAACATTTTATATCCTGTTGTTTTTGTAGGGCCATGAGCTGAAGGGAGGCTATCCGAGCTTGATGTGTAAGAGGGCCAATATTTCTACATAGATGAAGATAATCGAGAATACCTCTTGTTTCTCTATGTGGCCAGAGGGCCGTTTGGTAGTCATTAGCATTTTCAAAAGCAAGCTGTCTTAGCAAGTGCTCTTTAGCAGGTTTATTATCAACTTGGCGGTCAATAGCCATTTTGAGCCAGAAATAAAATCAGTATATGCTTCTGTAGGGCCTTGCACAATTTTTATATAACTTTGCCCCACTTCCCCTGAACGGATTAGCTTTCCCCAAGCTGCAAGGGCGATTTCAGATACCTGTACTGTGGCTGCAGGCGGAGTGTTAACCAATTGCTTTCGAACATCTGAAGAGGTGCCAGAGCCAGTGAGCATTTCAAAAGAAATATGATGCATCGCTGGGGTAGTCCAATTAGCCCGGGCTTTCATATAGGCAGCATCCGATAACCCATTTTCCATTGTAATAAATCCTGTGGCTTAAGGCAAGCCCGTGCAACCATATGCCAATCATAAGGGATCCACTCCCCAGAATTTGCCCAAGCTTTCACAATCTCTGTAGTATAAGGGGCTGTGGGTCCGCACAAGTGGCAAGCCTTCTTTAGCTCCCTTAAAGCGTTTAAATCTAGTCCCTCATTGACAGCACCAGCAGCTTGTGTTGGGTCTATGGGGAAAGCCATAAATAGATTATTAGCCCCTTGCCATCGGAGTTCCTTTTTCGAGAGGTGAGAGAGCTAGAGAGGATCGTTTGAGAGGGAATAAATCTATTGTGGAGGGGGCTTGATCATCTTTGGCGGGGTCCTCCGTTAAAAGCAGAGGGGCCATGGGTGACAATGGCCGGGACTGGTGAAGTCGCGAATTTTTTTTTACTTTCAGTCTTAGCCTTTTCTCAAGTCTCATCGTCTAATTCATATGTATGTAAAGAGTTGATAGTTTCTTTAGCAACCTCAGCTGGGGATAACGGATCCCCAGTTTCCACAGTATTGATCACACTCGCGTACTAAAGCCCAAATGGGCCAGAAATCAAAGGGAATCGTTTCACCCTGTCTCAGAGCCTTCAAGACATTATTTTTCACTCGGATCCAAGTCTCCTCATCTAAGGAGTCTTCTTCGGAAACCAAGGATTATATTCAACTACTGTTTCCAAACGTTTTTCTATGCACTGCTTAGTAACTTTAGCTCCATATTCTTTTAAGAAAATGATGTATCAATGCAGCAAAACCTGATGCTTTAGAATTTGATTGCCCCATAACCCTGTAATAAACTTTCCTACTTACCACCTTCTGTAGGGTTCCTATCGCTGGCCAATCACTCCTCGAGGGGGGCTTCAGGTCCCTGTTCAAGTGCCACTTGTCAACCTCAGAGAGTCAGGGACCTGGGGCAGTGAAGGAACTGAGAAAAAGAGACGACAGTACAGCGAGGCACAGGGGACCCTGAGCTAACAGCCCAAGGTGCCGAGGTTTATTTTCCATACTCTTATATACCTTCTACAGCAATATAGATCTATAATGGTTTACAGCAGGGGCGTAGTAAGGCACATTCCTCCATGTATACAGGATTAGTTAAGCATGGAAGAATCTTTAAAACAGAATAAAGGAACAGAGAGGGGAGTGCCCAGTGTGCTGTTTACAGTGGGCTTCCTATCTACAAAACATCTTCTGGGGCGTACTTTAGAACTGACCACACATGTTCCAAGGGCATTTCACTCTGATCCTTTTGGGTTATTTTTAACCCTGCAATCTCGAGTTTTCTCAGAGATCTCGGAGTCTGAGCGAACGTGCACCAGTGGTTGTTGTGGTGTTCTGTTTCCCACACAATTCTACAAGTGACAAATGCACAGTGTATTTGTGATTAACTCACAACTCCCACAGGTCTGCCTGGCCAAAAGGGTGAAGAATTAGATGTTCAAAATATGCTCGTCTAGAATCTTAAAATTATTCTTCTTGGTTTTTCAAGCTTCATGGTATTCTTGTTCTCAGTAATTCATTTTTTCCTGCTTGATAAAATATTTGAAGTGTCCAGTGGTCCATGTCATTATGCTGTTTAGTGTTCACAGTGAATGATGACCTTGATCATTGCTTTTTTTGTATATTTTCAATAAAAGGGCTCATGAGCCTGAAGATACTTTAGCAACAATGATATCTTCTTCTAAAATAGATCTGACATTGTCATTAGTCATTCGGAGAAGCCTGAGCTGTTAACCTACTTTGTCTTTTCACTGGACATCAAATGTTGAAGTTTACAAGGCAAAATTTATTTTCCTCTCAATCACATGTCTGCTTGCTATTTTAAAGAGCATTGAATACAGCACTGCAAATATAATTCTGGAATAATTAGGGTTTCTTTTCTCTTCAGTTCTTTACACTGGTCTCTACAATTTGAAATAAATCCAAAATTTTCTTAGAATTTTGATTACTTTTCTCTCATGAGATTTTTACCATTCAAAATGTTCAAAATTAAATGAAACTAAAGAACGTTAAACACAACTAGAGTGTCTTTTCCCTAAGTGTTGTTTTCCTCGAACACCAAAATAGAATTCTGTTTCCTGTGCTGTCAGTTCATCATATTTCAGTGTCAGAAACATTGTTAAGTGAGGTCAGACATGCTTCCTGATTTTGAACCTGATTCTGATAAAGCTGCTGAATTTATAATAATGTAACACAAACATCTCAAAACTTACCATAAATCCTAGCAGCTTAATAAATGGTATCTGGTCAGGGGGTTTGCACTGACAGCTAAGGATGGCTCTGATGGTCCCAGTGGTAGCCTGCTCTGGTGTGATGTGGTTTGCTAACATGGAAATAGAAAGACAGCCTTAAAAACTGGAGAGAGTGTAATTAAAGCCTTAAACAGATTTATACTCTCATACAGTTTAGGATATTGCATACATGGTACTACATAACTAGCCTACTCTGGTGTATATGTTCTACTGAATAAAACAGAGCAATGAAAAAGGACTTAAAGTACACCAATTTTAGAAGTGAGATGTGAATCTGAACATGTTCTTGTATCACAGAAAGAAGAGGAAATTATTTTGCTTAATTTTCATAATGGCTACAGCATGCATTAGATCTAATTAAATACCAATAGCAAGATTATGGTTGTTAAGTAGCTTAATTCAGTGAAATAAGTCAATACAATGAGTTATTTGCCACCATACAAACTTATATAGAAGTAATAGTTGACTATTTTCAACTGATTAATAATTTGTATTGGCATTATATATAGTCTTAAAGACATTATAGTCAAATGCTTCAAGAAAATTTGAAAAGCACATAAAGATTAGTACAAGTCAATTATGAACTTATAATTAACAACATTCCCAAAAATCATATATTGGCATTTAGCACAAAGCACTGCTCTAATAGCAAAAAACATTTTTTAGTTTCAAGTTATTACATTCTTAATTATAAATTAAATCTATATTTTACATAATTCAACCCTTCCTTCTATCCTTTGTATGTTTTAATCACAATGATCACAGAACATTAGCACATGAAAAAGAACAGTATTAGCACATGAAAAATAACTGGAATTAATTGGAGACCATATAGCTTGGGTTATTTATAAAAATGTCATACAGGAATATTTTGTCTATTGATACAATCAAAGTGCCTCAAAGACTGCAAGCATTGATTTCATTTGGACTAGCCCTTCCACTTGAAAGTCACCTAAAATATGTAGGTACTTAATGTCTCCTAATTTTGTTGACTGGAAGTGAAATTACTAAAGAAACATTTAAACATGTATATATATTTTGCTTCCCCAATTTATGCAAGTATCTCTATGTCTTTTCTTTTTAAATTTCCATAATTATAGAATAAACTTATTCTGTAATAAAGCTGGTATCAGTCAGTCCATGAGTAGTTACTGATTCTATCAAGACAAGTAGTGGGAACAGGTGGAGAGGTAGAAGTAAAGGGAACTTTGATCTTAATAAAATTATACATGTCATTAGGAAGGGTATACATCCCCTAGAACGAAATTTGAAATAATCAGTAGCACTCAGTGGAATCATATAATAGCAATAACTGGGATCATTTACTTTACATTAAATATTTATGTGAAATAATATTCATCACGTAAGTATAGTATAGGTAAGAGACAAAGAAACTAGCTTATTTTTTTGAAAGCCTCTTTGCTTTACTCTTTGGTTGTTGAATGCCGGAAGCCACCCAAAGGACACCCCAGACTGCCTCAAGACAGCAACACTTCCCCAACTGTCACTCCCACTACACATACTTAACAGTTTGGGGCACCTTCACTGAAATCTCCAGGAAGGCAGCAGTTGTGTCTGGCTTCCTCTCTTTTGTGTTCCCAGCTTCTAGCTCAGTGCTTGGCTCTTGGAGAGCTACTGAGTGAGAGAAAGGAAGGGAGGGAGGGAGAGAGAGAGAAGAACGGAAAGAAGGGAGGGAGGATGGATGGTCTCACCAGTCAGCCACAGGTGGTCAGTATGGTGCCTTCTTGGTCACCTCTACTCCTGCCTTGGGTAGGTCTAACCACTCAAGCGCTCCCTGTCCTCAGCTATAAGACAGGTAGCCCAAAATCTTTCCCTTTGACCATTAGAATTATAAAAAATATGATGCCACCTAAGAAAAAGAAAAAGAAAAAAAATGTTTACAGGGTGAAGAAGTTTGATAGAGTGTCATTAATATAAAATAATAGTAATAACAAAAAGTCAGTGGTGTCACCACAGAGAATTTGCATTACTTTAGGAGAAAATGTGAAACTAAGTGGTGGTTGCCACATCACACAGGACACGTTCTCTGCCATTTTTCAGTTTGCCCTTGGCTTAATTCACTTATTTACAAAACATATTGGCGCTCAGAAGTTTGGAGTTTTCTACTACTGGATTAATAGTGTGATTTCAAAGAAATTGTGATTCTCAAAGGTCTAAGAAGAAAACTCAACAGAGGTTTTTCAACTTTTTTCTAGAAAATGCAAAAAGCACAAAAAGTGGAAGAGGCAAACTACATACGATATCAGGAACTAGAAATAGAAGTGTAGTCAATATGTTCATTAACAATTATTTATTAAACCCATTGTTATCAGTCACTGTAATAAGAATAGCCTGTTGCTGTCTGAATTACATTTGTGAGGTGAATAGTGTGACTAGGAACTTAATTTTTAAATGTAATTAATTTTACTTATTTTAAATTGAGTCACCATGTGGCTAGTAGTTTTGTTATTGGGCAATACACATCTATATTATTCACTTCTATAAAATTCTTTGATCTCTTCCAATCCAATTTCTTTGTTTCTATTCCACATCAGCTACTAATTCAAAGGAATATGTCCTGCACCTTAGGGTCAGAGTTAATGATATCTCTGAAATCTTAGAGGAGTATTGCAGGGTTTTCTCGCTGCCCTTCCATCCATTATTTAAGATTGATATGCAAATAAGACATATCCAAAATCACACACATTTGTCTTTTCCCCAGAGTTGAGCTATGAGAAAGAAGCACTGTAATAATAACTTAAAAGTGTAAATGCAGAGGTGTGTTTAGCATTATAATGGGAATATAAATCTAGAGGTTAGGCTTTTCTTCTCTAAAAAAGAATTACTGTCTAAATTGCTGTCCAAAATGTGTGATGGAGGAAGAGCAGTTCCCCATTTCAAAACCAAGTGGCAAAGAACACATCAATCCCATTCTCATTTTAGTTCTAAAGAAACCCAGATTGCCATTCCAATGCTTTAAATACCTAGAATCCTTAAAGGCAGAGACATTTGGGTCTTCAGCCCTGGTGATGATGTGTATCAGAGGAATGAGGTTTGATTAAAAGTATATTTAAATCTCCCCCCAGAAAACCAATTGGTCTATGTGTTCTCCAGGTATGGAGTCCCACAGAAGAGGACTCTTTTAGACATCCAGCTGCTGACATCCATTTCATAGGAGCTAAACTAGTGATACCAAGGGTAAAGCTTTTAATGACCTCCCTCCCCATTTCCCAGGCAGAGGAGATAATATATTTGCTCCCCAGACTCTCTGGGCCTCTAGCGATATCCTCAGATTACTACTCTAGAGCTCCTTACACTATATTTTTCCACATTATATTTTGATGAAATCTTTGCTTGTCATCTTCTCCACTAAATGGTTTCACTCAGTAATAGATGTCTTGAGACAGATTCCCCAAGAAATTGCAAGCAGGAATTTTTGTGGACATTGTTTATAGGGAAAACAACTACAACAAAGCAAAAAAAAAAAGACAAAAAAGCAATAAAAGAAAACAAAAAAACAAGCAAACAAGAAAAATCTAAGAAAGAGAAGTAGAATTGGGTAGAAGTTAAAGTAAAATAGCACTTGCAGCTGAAGCCTAAATTAATCCCCTAGGAAAGCTATGAACTGGAATAGCCTTTCAGAAGACTTCCAGATTGAGACAAGAGGTTTGGATTTTGAGCTATAAAAGGACAAGTCATCTGATGCAAGCTGCCACTAAGCAGAAGTTATTGTTTTAGGCAAGAAATCTACCTTCAGCTGAGGAACATGTTTAGGAATGAATTCAATGATCAGTCAGCAGGCAACACTCCCAATAGATGGGGAAGGTCTGCCTCTGCTGAAGGGGCATCTGGGCAGTGCACAGCAGCTTGCACGGAGTATATACCAGCACCGATTGGATCAACTTTCTGTGATAGGTTTATTCCATTTGGAGACAACTCCACCAAGTTTCTTGTGTTTTCCTTAGGGAAACTTAATTCAGCTATTGATAGGTGCCTACAACCCCTACCTTTGCAGCTGGTCTCAGAACTACACTTGAAACCTATTATTTTCCTTCTTGTTAACCATTTGTAATCATCCTAGGTTTCTCTCATGCTCAACAAACACCTCAAATGGACTAAGTGGCTTATCTGGCATGGTGAACTAGATTCTCATCATTTCAACATAGCTCATGACATCCTTTTAAGATCATAGTTGATGGGTCACCTGGGTGGCTCTGTTGGTTAAGTGTCTGACTTTTGATTTCGACTCAGGTCATGGTCTCAGTGTTGTGAGATCAAGACCTGCATGGGCATGGAGCCTGCGTGGGATTCTCTCTCCCTCTGCCCCTCACCGCCTCCTGCCCCAACTCTCTCTGTCTCTCTCAAAAAAAAAAAAAAAAAGATCATAGCTGATACATTTGTTGATTTACCACCAAATTCACCAGGGAAGACAAAGAGATATCCTGTAATCACCTGGGTGCCAAAGGTATTATGTTCTTCCTTCATTGTGTAATAGTAGATCTAACTTATCCTGATGATCTGGATCAGTTACCCTTGCTGTGCTGGTCTCTTGGCAAAAAAAAAAAAAAAAAAGTGCAAAATGGCAGCTGTTGTCCCCTGGTGGAAGCTTGAATAGGTACATCTGCAGAACCTAGAGTTGTGGACAAAAGAAGGACAACTTTCCCAAGGGAGTACAAGGAGTACTGGTAAGTCTGGTCCCTCCTATACCCACCCAGTGGTTCCTGGATCAATGTATTCTATCTTTTGGAAACGCATCATCATATAATGGTCATCAATTTAATTTGTACTAAAGGACAGCACTCTAGACTCACACAGTATCATCAACTTAGTGTGTCAGCTGTTCCTTTAATGTGCATTCCATCTTTCTCTCAGGTTGAAAGTTCCTTGGTAGTCCAGTAAGTGATATGATCAGTAGATCCCTAATTATATCTCCTGATATACCTCCTTTACTGTAAAATGGGTCATTTGGTCAAATACAATGTCACATCAGGTTTGGTATTAGTGGTCCAAATATTCTATAAGTCCTCAGATAATAGTAATAGCTGAGGCCCTGAAGACAGGAAAGAAAACT